TTTTTTTTATTCTATCGAAGTCGCACGCGAAGACTCTGTCGCGATAACGCTGTCGCAGCGCGTTACATGACACCGCGCGAAGGATGGATGGATGGAAGGAAGCGAAGAATTGAGATACGTGCTATTCAATATACGTTTTAATAATATAATAATAATAATAATAATAATAAATAATGAAGTTCGTAATTTCTGAAAAATAAACAAAAGACAAATATTAATATGTGGTATAGATGGTTTTACAAATATAAGAGAGAGAGAGAGAGAGAGAGAGAGAGTATGAGTATAAATTTAAATATATTAAACTTACATTTCCAATCCTCCCAATTCTCCATCTCTGAATCCTCAACAGGTGATTCTATCAAAAAGGATTCATCACCGCATCTTTTACTCTTATAATAGTGGCAATGAGACACATAATTTCCCAATGAGATCTGACATGTACTAATTTGTGTTCCTGATAAAACTAATTTATTATTCTCATAAGTAAGGTTAATAAAACCCTTTTGCAAATTCAAATGTCTCTGACACTAAGTATTGGTACGCGTCAGCACGTTGCGGTAACCGAGTTCACGACTGCGAAGTAAATGTGGAACTGATGAACAATGACGGTTAGACATCTTTGCGCAAACTGATGAAAAGATTCTCATTGACATTTATATACTTAAAAAAAAAATGCAGCGTTTGCACTTATGCAGCTGCAACATTTTTGCAAAAATGACAGGTACGGTGATGAAATCATTGGTGTAATTCAATATTTAAAAAATACAACGTTTGCAAATATGCAGTTACTAAGAAAGAATTTCGCACAATACAGATTTTTAGACACGTACGGTGATAAAATCATTAGTGTAATTCGATATTTAAAAATGCAACGTTCGCAAGTTCTGTTTAAGTTTTTATACAAAAAGACACGTCCGGTGATGAGAGCAGTAATGTAATTTGATACAAATGCGACGTTGCCAAATTGCACATTTAACAGTTAAGAGATGCATTGTTGCCAAATAGATAGATATAAAACGCAAAGATTTAGGCGCATCGTGTCATTAGTCAATCAAGCGACATGGAGCGAGATTTGATACAGCAAGCTAACCAGCTTAGTACCAGAGAAGAGTACGTCGCGTGGGAACAGCGATGCGACGAATTCATCGAATCTTTGGAAGAACAGAGTCGGATCAAACGCCCGCGATTATCGATCGGCAATAGACAATCAGTGATCGCAAGTATCGCGCGGCTCGAAAGTTTGAAAGATTCAGTGCGCGGACGATTCGTGTACGTGGGCGCCGGATATGGACTCCGATGGCGCGAGATAGAAACGGCGTTCGAAAGCCGTATTTTGACGGGCGCGGTGATAAACTCTAATCACATCGAGCCCCGTCGATTCCTCGAAGACGCGAGTGAAATTGTGCTCGAGCGTGTACAGAGTGTTTTACAGAGATATGACTCTATAAAGATAAATACAGTATTTAACGGTGAATTCGTGGCGGGTGATAAACGCGCGAACAAGAGCATCGCAACCAGGAACTATGAAATATATCGATGCACCGATCAGCACGAGTGGTACGTGTCACGCGTTGTCGAGCCAATCCTAGCATCGCTCGAAGAGTTTCAAGAACGTGATAGTGGATGGGCACTATCGCGTATACTAAATTTAACGGTGAACGCGAATAAACTGAATCCTCTGCGCGCGGGATGTCGCATTAAACTCCCGGAAGAAATTAAAAATAAGAAAGCGGTGATCATAGACAGCGTGCGTTCGATAGACAATGCTTGTTTCGCATGGTCGCTGGTTGCCGCTCTACATCCCGTTGAAAGTCATACATATCGAACATCATCATATCCGCAATACTCATTGGTACTAAATCTTACGGGTATTGAATTCCCGATGACGTTGAGTCAAATTAAAAAATTTGAAAATCTCAACGACATTATCATCACCATTTACGCCATCGAGGAAGGGATCGTACCAATACGACTCGCTGACCAAAAGAGGAGCAAGCATGTAAACCTCTTGTACGTTGAGGATGACATCGCGGGTCACTTTGTGCTGATTAAAGACCTGTCACGTCTAGTAAGCTCGCAAATTAGCAAAAAGAAGAACAAGAAATACTTCTGTGATAGGTATGTATAATCATAATAATAATAATAATAATAATAATAACAGTAACAATAGTAATAATAATAAAATAATAAAATAATAAAATAATAATAAAAAACAAATTCTTTTTTTTCCAGATGTCTCCACTATTTTAGCTCGAGCGCTAAATTGGAGCTCCACAGCGTCGACTGCGGAAAGCTCAACGATTGTGCAATAAGGCTACCGAGCGAGGACGACAAGTGGCTCGAGTTTAAGAAACATTGCAGAAAGGATCGTGTCCCGTTCGTGGTCTATGCAGACTTGGAGTGCGCATTGGAAAAGATGGATAAAGAACCAGCATCATCCACGTACACGTACCAACATCACAACGTCTTCAGTATCGGGTATTACGTGTACTGTTCTTATGACGATTCACTATCAGGCTATCGTTTTCGCCGCGATAATAACTGCATATCGTGGTTCGCAGATGAAGTGAAAAATTTAGCACATAGTGTGCAATCTGTAATTTCGACCAATGTTCCCATGGATTTCACGCAAGATGACTGGCGAAAATTCAACAACGCCACGCACTGTCATGTATGCGAGAAACCGTTTGCGAAAGACGATACGCGAGCACGCGATCACTGCCATCTCACCGGGCGATACAGAGGTCCCGCGCACTCAAATTGTAATTTAAATTATAAAGATTCGCGATGCATACCCGTAGTCTTTCATAATTTAACCGGTTACGACGCTCATTTCATTATAAAGGAAATTGCTACTGCCTATGAAGGACACGTTGATCTCTTACCGATAACTAAAGAAAAATATATCTCTTTTACTAAACATGTTGATGATACTGTAGATGATAAAAAAAATTGTATAAAACTTCGTTTCATCGATTCATATAGATTTCTCGCTTCTAGTTTAGACAAATTATCATCTTTTCTCAGCAAAGATAAGCTGCGGGTACTGCGACGCGAATTTTCTCATTTATCGGAAGAAAATTTTAATCTTTTAACTCGAAAAGGTATCTTTCCGTACGAGTACATTGATTGCAGTGAAAAATTGAATGAATCATCCTTGCCGCCTCGCGAGTCATTCTATAGTTCATTGACAGACGGCACGGTATCCGAGAGCGATTACGCGCACGCTGTCAACGTGTGGCAGCGGTTCTCCATCCAAACGCTCGGTGAATATAGCGACCTGTATCTAAAAACGGATGTATTGTTGTTGGCCGACGTCTTTGAAAATTTCCGCGACAGTTGCGTTGCGAGTTACGGGCTCGACCCCGCATATTATTATACGTTGCCTGGCTTCACATGGGATGCCATTGAAGCATACAGGTGTAAAATTTTAATTGCTTACAGACATTGACATGGACATGTTTGTCGAGCGCGGTATACGCGGTGGTCTGAGCCAGTGCTCAAATAGGTATGCGCGAGCCAACAACAAATACATGCCGTCGTATGACCCATCGAAACCATCATCGTACCTAACGTACTATGACGTCAACAATCTCTACGGCTGGGCAATGTGTCAATTGCCATACGCTGATTTTCGATGGGTCGACGACGTGCAAAATTTCGATTTTTCGTCCATCCCGCTAGATTCGCCTACAGGCTATATTCTCGAGGTTGACATTGAGTACCCGCAACATCTCCACGACGCGCACACTGACCTACCGTTCTGTCCAACGCGAGAGAA